GTGCAGGATGACCCGGAAAAGCAAATTACGTATTACGACATTGGCAAGCGACCGATGGACGAAATTTCACATAGAAGCTTCGCTCAATTAGATTTGTTTCTGGTGCCGCAAGACATGCTCTGGCGCGTCGGCTGGGTTGGGAGCGATCGCCGGCAAGTTTGTCAGTCGCATCACTTCTTGGTCGAAACAATGATTGCTGTCGAAGGGGAAAAGACGATCCGGCAGACAAAAAGCCGTTACGACATGCACAGTTTGGACAAAAAACCGACCGTGAAGGACGCTTTCTGCAACCGCTTTGAGTTATTGGCAACACAGGAGCTGCACATGCCGACCTCCAGTATTGATGACACAGTAGATCGATTCGAAGCGGCGGTGGCCGCAGCTGTAAAACACACCGTGCCGTCCGTCCGGGCGACAGCGAGAAGGCCATGGATCAGCAAGGCCACCTTGGAGTTAATCGAGAAGAGAACATCAGCCCGAACAAACGGAGACAGACGATTGGAACTATCGCTCAACAAACTCATCCGGAGCAGCGCGAAGACAGACAGGGGAAAGTGGCTCGACGATTTGGTCTCAGACGGGTCGTGGACATCAGTGCAAAAGCTCCGCCGGCCCAGGCAGCCTGCAAGAGGGATGTTGTGCAACAAAAATGACATGCTTGTACAGTCATGTGACCGGACAGAGACGTTTGCTGAGCATCTGGAGATGATCCAATGGGCCGTCCGGCCGCTGACGGCACCAATTGCGCAGGAACCAGTCGACCAAGAGCTGCCCACGTGCGAGGGGCCGATCACAATGGACGAAGTCCAGGCAGCAGTGCGCAAGCTGAAGGCCGGGAGAGCCGCCGTCCAGGTGCCAGCCGAAGCCCTGAAGGCATTCATGGAGCATGTCGACAGTGCGGGTGCACAATGGCTTACGACAGTAACGCAGGAATGTTGGGAAACCCAAGCCACTCCGCTGAGTTGGCATTCGGCCAAAGTCAGAGAGATATACAAGAAGGCCAGCCCAACGGACTGCCAGAATTACAAGCCAATATCCCTCGTCAGCGTGTTGTACAAAGTGTATGCGATGATCTTGCTAGCAAGATTGAAAGCCGCAGGGGCGGAAAACCGTTTGTGGAGCATGCAGTTCGGGTTCCGGCGGAAATTCTCCACCGAGGATGCTCTGTTCATCGTCCGGCGTAAGATGGAGCAGGCGCGGGCCGCGAAGGACGGCAAGGCATTCTTACTCGCAGTGGACTGGAAGAAGGCCTTCGACAGTATCGCGCCCGAGCGCTTACTGGCGGCTTTGAAGCGGTTCGGAATGAAGGACAGCATGATCCTCGCGGTGGCGGAGATCTACAGCGAGCGCCAGTTTACAGTCGTGGAAGACGGCGTCGAGTCGTGCCCGCGACAGCAACAAGCGGGCATCAGCCAAGGTTGCCCGCTGTCTCCTTTTCTCTTTGGCATTGTGATGACAATACTTATGAGAGATGCGGTCAGTCGCCTGGGCCGTGCGGCCAAGCAGGCGCACGACCGAGGGCACCTTTCTGAAGTGCTGTATTCAGACGACACTTTGCTGATTAGCTCTTTGGGAGTGCACATCGAAGAGTTGATGGAGTCGATAAACCATTGTGGTGGCCAGTACGGCCTCCAGATACATTGGGGGAAGCTGCAGCTTATGAAGATATGCACGGACCTGAACGTCACCACTCCGACCGGGGACACGCTGGAGGCCGAGGACACCATGCTGTACCTGGGGGCCACAGTGCACAGCGACGGCCGCTCCACTTCGGAAGTGGGCAGAATAGTCGGGGCCGCCACGGCAGACTTCCGATCGCTCTGCACTGTCTGGAAGAACGCGACGATCAGCCTGGCCAGAAAGATCGAGCTGTTTCAGAATATAATTGGGTCGAAACTGAAATACGCAACGGCGTCTATGTGGCTCATGAAGACAGATTTGCGCCGGTTGGATGGATTTTCTGCCGTTGCTTACGATAGATCTTTCGCATTCCTCCACATTCATCTCATGAATCAGCAATGATGAAGTCTTGAGGAAAGCACAGTGTCAAAGTTTATCGGCGAGCATCCGGGGTTCGCAGTTGAACTTGCTCGGCCAGGTGATCAGAGACCCGTCCAAGGCAGAGCTGAGGAAGGTCGCTTTCCATGGCGCCGGCACCACCCCAGAGACTGCAGTCTGGGTGAGACGCCGCGACAGGCCTCGCCAGAATTGGGTGGAACAGTTGTGTTTGATGATGCGACAGGAAGCTGGGGGATACGCGGGGTGGGACAGAGTCTCCGCCTCACAGACAGAATCGAAGCAGCACGTGCGAAGCTCAGTAGCCCGCATACAGCCAATGCGCTGCGCAGTGCACGGTAGAGGTAGGTAGGTAGGTAGGCAGGCAGGCAGGCAGGCAGGCAGGCAGGCAGGCAGGCAGGCAGGCAGGCAGGCAGGCAGGCAGGCAGGCAGGCAGGCAGGCAGGTAGGTAGGTAGGTAGGTAGGTGGGTGGGTGGGTGGTTGG